AAGAAAACAATACCAAGAATCAATAAATCAAAGAGTTGGTTGTTTCCAAGATTAAATAAAATTGATAAAACCCTTAACCATGGGGGCCAGGGAGATGGCTTAGTGGAATAAGCACTTGCCTGGCAAGGGCCTGAATTCATCCCTGGTTCCGCCAAAAAACAAAACAAAACAAAAAAAAAAAAACCTTTAACCAACCTTAACAAAAAAGGAAAAGACTCATCCATGTAATTAAGAATGAAAAGGATAAAATCACACCAGATCCTACACTTCAAGAACCTCTACTCTAGTGAGATGGAAAATACAGAAAAAATGGATAGATTGCTAAATACATATGAATTACCAAAGCTGAATCAAGAAGATATAAAAATTTTAAATAAACCAGTTCTGTCATTGAAATTGAAGATGCAGTTTAAAAACTACCCATAAAGAAACCCAAGGTCCTGACAGTCACTCCTCAATTCTACAAGAAATATAGAGAACTAATGTCACTACTGCTCATACTCTTTAATAAAACTGAAAAGGAAGCAATACTCCCAAATTCATTCCTGGAAGCAAGCATTCCTGATACCAAAACCAGAGAAGGACTCAACTAAGAAAGAGAACAATTTTGTAATTCTGTATAGATAACAACTTCTGAAAAGCTGGTGTTTTTACAACTAGCACTGAATGCAGTCCCACTTGCAGTAGTCAATCTTCAATAGACATGAGTCTATCTGTTTGTTTTTTGCAGTAGTGGGAATTGAAACAAGGCCTTCAAAACTGAAAAAATTAGGCTGGCCAGACTGCTTAGCGGACTAAAGCACCTGCTTAGGCAGTGCACAGGGGCCGGGGTTCGATCACTCGCACCACAAGCGGTGTAGGCCCCACTCCTGGGGCACGATGAGATGATTCAGACTGGGCCTGGTGGCGTGTGCCTGTAATACCAGCGCTTGGGAGGCTGAAAAAAGGAGGATCACTACAAGTCCGATCTATGTAGCAAGACCCTGTAGACCCTGCACTAAATACATT